CATAAAAATGCCGTCAAAAACTGATTGTAGTTTCTTGTTCGGGACCCTTTGGTGACTTAAAAATGATATTTACCAAAGTTCTAGCTGCTCCTCTTTTCGAAATTGTTCGAAAATTCATGATTTTTTTTTTAATTTTTGTTTATCACACGGATTTTTATAAAATTGGAGTATATTATTTAGGAGACTTAGAGAATATTTTTTAATACTGTTCACATCATTTGATATATACAGGGTTAGCCAAAAATCACTTATTTTTAATAATGCAAAAGCGTAAATTCATGATTTTAGCATAACACGCGAAAAATATTTATTCCCAATTTTTTTTTAGATATTTCTAGGTCTATCAGGTTACAAAATGGCATTATTATTAACCTTTTACAAGAAAAATAGATTTGTAATAACATTTAATAAAATAACGCTTAGAGAGTATTTAAAATGTTGTTTAATTTAGGCTTTTTAGTAGTTTTCAATTTTGAACGAAAAATTGGTTGAAGTTAAAATATATATTTACCAAAATTCTAACTGTTTTTTTTTTAATTTGTAAAAAATTCAATTTTTTTAAAATTATTTGTTTATAGCAAAGTCTACCTTTGCCAGAGTACACATTTGTACACCGATATTGTAAACGAGAGAAACTGTTTTTATATACTTAGATATACTTAGATATGCTTAGATTTATACAGGGTTAGACAAAAATCACTTTTTTATATAGTAAAAGCATAATGCAGAAAAAAGATATTTCAAAAAATTTCGAAAAGAGGAGCAGCTAGGATTTTGGTAAATATCATTTTTAAGTCACCAAAGGGTCCCAAACAAGAAACTGCGGAATTTTTATGTGACTTAAACTTCGTTCAGGCACACCGTGTGCTAGCAGCGAAGCGCGCCGCGTACTGATCAAGCGCACAGCGGGACAAAAAAATTAATATCTCCGGAATGACATATGAAAGGCAAATTTTTGAGTACATCTTATTAAACGGAAACGTTTGCCGCATATTATGACACAAGATTAATTTTTTTTCAGCGTGAAGAACACATACAAAATTTCAATTGTTTATAATAAATGTATGCAAAATTCTTTTATTTAAACAAATTAACCTTAATTAAATGATCATTATATACTCTAAACATTTCTACAATAGTGTGTAAAATTTAATTCAATTATACTGAGTGGTCCCAGAGAATCTATTTTTTCAATTTTACCGTGCTCTAAAGTTTGACAAAATTGTCAACCTTAATAACATTACCAAAAAAACGAATTTTAAAACAATTTTTTTACTGTGACATATGAGTCATGCCTACTACACAATAATGTGATTATTTTCAAAATCGGTGATTTCGTGAAATTTTCTGGTCCCACTTGACGTGGTTTGACTCAGGTACCTTGTAACACATATGTGTATCTTTTTGAGTAGAGTTTCTCATTTGTTTTGATAATTTATTATTATTGAATCACCATATACTGATGTCATTTTTGCTTTCTTCAATTTAATTTTTAATTCAAAATGTATACAATTCTCCTTCTATATATGTTAAATAACTAAAATTTTATAATTATGTACACTCTTAAATAAATAAAAAAAATTGAAAAAGAGAGCGGTTTGGCACTGGGTATGTGGGTGGGGCCTAGAGATTCAAAATTTCCGGAAAAATTGAGTGTCGGAAAAAAACCCTGTTTTTTTCCTGGAAAAATTGGAAAAAAACGGAAATTTTGGGAAAAATTGATATTTTCTTAAAAACTAAAAAAAAATCTTTAAAAATATTTTAAATATATTTTATAATATTTATAAATTATTTTGATTAAAAAATTCTCGTTATGTATAGGCGCCCCCCGGGAGAGGCACCTGTAGGGTCATGCTTTTTAACGATGAAAAAAGCCTAGTTGCCGACGGCCGTAATTCACATTAAAATCATTGTTGGTAACTATTCAAAATACACTAACCCAGAAGTTAGTAGCATATTCAATGATTTTAACTTCACAATGGCAACCCTGCCCGATCAGCTGATTAGGAACCGACGCGTCGGACTGATCGTCGTTCGTTTACAGCGTTACGGTAAGCATAAAAACATTTATCTTGTATTAAATATACTTTTTTTATTGTACCCACAATACACAATGGTATGCTTTTTGCTCAAAGCACAGACTTCTGTACTACTGCAAAAATATATTTATTTAATTTCCACTCATTAATACATAAATTATATCAAATCAAAATACTTTTTAGATTTTCGTTTTTTTTTTTAAATATTTTTTCAATTTTTCCGTTTTTCAATTTTTCCAAGGCTCGGGAAAAAAACGGAAAAAAACATTGTTTTTTTCCAATTTTTCCTGTTTTTTTCCGAACCTTTAAATCTCTAGTGGGGCCTCCTCTCTCTTTTTTTTTTTTTTTGTTTTTTTTTGTTTTTTTTTAATGCAAAATATGCGTGTACGTTTTATTTGTAGTATTAAGCGCAGAGATCATGTTACACCTAAAATTAAACAGTTAAATTGGCTTAGAATGAGGGATAGGTGAGTACTACATTCCCTTGTACTTTACAAAAATATAATTACTACCAAGCTACCTCAATACTTACATAACAAAATAAAATTTAGAACTGATGTACATCACTTAAATTTAAGGCATAAGGGTACTATTACAATTCCTCAACATACTACTTCTATCTATCAAAGAAGTTTTAGCTATAATATTGCACTTTTATATAACATGTTACCTAACTATGCTCAATTTTACTTTTTAAGACCAAATTAAAACAATTAATTTTTAACAACTTTTTTAATTTATGTTAATCGTTAAAATTTCTTTTATTCTTTAATATCTACCTATTTGAGTTTTCTTTAATATGTACTCGGTTAAATGTTTTTTTTTATTATAGAATTATGGAATTTGCATATTAGCCATTTATTGTTGGATATGTAATTATTTTTTTTTAAATTTTTTACAAAAATTTATTAAATACTGGAATTAGCACATTATTTATCTATTATAAGCTAGGTTAAGTGGAAGAACAGCACCCCTTTAGCAATGTCATATTCGTTCAAAAGCTCGTAAAAACTAATTTTAATTATATTAAAAGTGAAATTTTACTTTCAAGCACTCCCTAAAAAGTCAACTTAGACTAAGTTGACTTTTTTGGGGATGCTAAAAAGTTACTAAAAAAATGCAGGTGGGGATTCACACAGTTCTTTGTGTAATACCTTTTAAGTTTGCTATAATTTAAAAGAAATATTCATATAATATATCACTAGAACTATGAATTTAATCGGTTAAACTAGGCTCAGTAGTTTTTTGTTTGGTTTTTGTTGGAAAATGTTGAATGCAAAATAATTTAATAAAATCACGAGACCGCGTAGCGGTCGAGGGGTTTTATTTTTAATTATTTTGCATGAAACTATTTTCCAAAAAGAAAAATCAAATAAAAAACTGACTGAGCATAGTTTGACAGATTAAATTTATAGGTTGAGTGATATACGTCTAGATTATTTCTCGAATTAAAGGAAACTATTTGACCATTCATAAAATCTGACGTATGTGTCAAAGTTTATAAATATTTTTTTAAAGAAAATTCCATTAATTTAAGGTATGTAATAAGTAATAATTGATATTTCGTAAACTAGATAACTTTTTTTTATTGTTTTTTAAAAAATGTTTGTTAAAACTTGTAAATAACACCATAAAATCGTAAACAAAAATCCAATATGGAGGCTAAAATTTAATCGCTGTTAAAAAGGTCTAGTGATTTAATCGCTTATTTAAACGAAATTTATTCAAAAATTCAAGGCTTTTGATTGGTTCATATTATATTGAGGGAAATAATCATTTATATTCTTGGCGATCCGAAATAATGGATGTTCACTGACTACACAGAAAAAACGCATGAATGGGTGAGCCATTAAACCAATGGGATCTTGTATTTCGTATTCCTGAATAACAGTTCCTATAATACCAATAGGTAGTTAGCATTTGGTTTATAATCGTTTACTGTTTTTAAATTAATAACAAAAGTTATCGCTCCTAAATCTATTGATATTCATATTGATATTTATTTGTTAGAATGTTAGAATGTTATTGCATTAAATACTAATTTGATTTATTTAATAACGTTACTATTGTATGTATACATTTAACTTAATAAAATCCTTGACATTTAGGCAAAATATTTCCCTATTTTAGTTTAATAGTAATTAATTGAGCAAATAACAATTTAGATTGCTTTAATTTTAATGCATTCAATGATAGCGCTGTTCTTGGTACTATGTTAGATTTTTTTCTGTGTATTAAAGTGGTACCGAAATAATGGATGTTCACTGACTATTAAAGTGGTAGGTATATAATACGTATATATATAATTATTATATATTATTATTATTATTGTCGTAAAAAATAAAATATACGAATACGAATACGGATACGAATTTATTTTGTGCTCAGTTTTAATTCATAGGAACCCCACCATAATAAATGGTCTATTATGTTTTCCATAAAAAAAACACGAAAAAAAAATAGAAACTCGACTAATCCATATGATGGAAAACCGCCTTAAGATTTTTAGCTTCACGAGAAACGCTAACTATAGTTAAAAATATATAGTTAAATATATTTAAAAAAAATTATTGTTATAACAATTAATCCAGATTGATTTCCGAGAGATAATGTTCTAACATTTTTATTATTTTATTTTACCAGAAAATAATAAATAAATAATACGTATTTTATAGGTACTTATTATAAAGTTATTTTATAATAAATACTTATAATAAGGGAAAAACATCATTATTATTTTTTCATAAATATTTGAATAAATTAACCAATAAAAATAATGGTAAACATAATTTAAACCTTATCATTTGTTTCTGTTTTAACAAAGAACCAATCTAATTGCAATTCCATTGATTTTCTTACCGTTGACTTGCGTATTTTCCAGTCAATTTATGTGTTAAATTGCTCAGCTCATTTCCTATTTGTGATTCTTATTAGTTATTTAGCGTCCTCCAAACTGGTCGATTCAAAGGCAAAATGTCAAATCCAGAAAATTACAAAGAAGCAAAATCCATTTACGAATTTTTTGCGAATGATATAAAAGGAAAAGAAATATCGTTGGAAAAATATAGGGGGCATGTGTGCATTATTGTAAACGTGGCTTCTCAATGTGGTTTTACTAAAAATAACTACGCTGAACTGGTGGAATTGTTCAACCAATACTCCGAAAGTAAAGGATTAAGAATCCTTGCGTTTCCTTGCAATCAATTCGCTGGTCAGGAACCTGGAGACAATGTGCAAATTTGCCAGTTTGTAAAAAATTTAAATGTTAACTTTGATGTTTTTGAAAAAATCAACGTTAACGGAGCGGATACTCATCCATTGTGGAAGTTTTTAAAATACAAGCAAGGAGGCACTTTGGGTGACTTCATTAAGTGGAACTTCACAAAGTTTATCGTCGATGAAAATGGACAGCCAGTGGAAAGACACGGACCAAATACTGATCCAAAGGATTTATTAGAATGTTTGGAAAAATATTGGTAAAATTTAAAAAAATTGTGTTTTAATTTGGAATTTGTAGAGCGTCATTAAATAAGTGATATTAAAATATATAATATATCTAAGCATTTTCATTTAATTACCAAAGCAATATAAAACTTCTATATTTAAATAAAAAAATATAAGTAGCATTATTCTCAAAAATGTTAACAAACAATTAATAATTATTTTGTTTAAATTTAAAGCTCAACTTTTTTTGTTTTAAACTTTTAATGCCCGACCAATAAGAAACAAGACATAACGTTTTAAAACGTTTTCTAAAAAAGCGGAAAAGCGCCGAAGAGCGATCAAGGAAATTTGGTCATTTTACCCTTTAGACCACCAGAAATTCCTTATCCAAAATCCAGCTAGCTCGGAAGCTTTTTAAGGGAAGCATGAACAATTAACTGTCACCCTATTCATGTTTTAGACAAATTTTATATGACATGAAAAGATGTGGGACCCACATTGTAGGTATTAAAAAAGATATCTTTTTTGACATATTTGAGATAACTCATTACTAAAAGACGACTTTTCGTCATGAGTAAAATAAATTATATTTTGTATGTCTTTTCGTTTTAGGTGCTGTTTAGGTCCAAGGCAATAATAATTGTTTTAGTTTTTCGAATTAATATATATCTTTTACCCACACGGAACAATTACATGCAATGGATATCCAATGGATTTCTTTTATGGATATCCAGGATATACATAGGATATCCGGGATATCCAATGGATAACCATTGGATATATAAATGTCCGACCCTCCTGGACATAGTGTGGATATCCAATGGATATCCAGTGGATATAGTATTGTATGCAATAAGGTTGTAATCTGTATTCAATATGGAGGTTGTATGGATATCCAATGGATAGGGTATTTAATGCAATAAGGTTGTTATCTGTATTAGATATGGTGAATCAATGGATATTTAATTTTCAATAAATAACATTGGGTTTTAAAATAAAAGTCTTATTCTTTAATTTAAATATTTATTTTTATGAAAACATAAAAAAGAACAGAAAACTACATATAACTAAAGAAGTGAAGTCTCTGGCTTGCCATCACTCCTCCAGCTGTCATTTGCCTTTTTATCAGCCTAATCATTTAGGGCCTATTTCACCTGTCTCCTTATGATCCCCAAAATTTGGCCAATCCATCAGCCCATTTGTTACCCTCAAGCCTATGTATAGCTTGCAAATAAAGGTACGGTATATAAATGCATGCATGTATTCACCTTTAATGTTTTACCTTCAATGCTAACCAAAAGTTTATAAATTGCACTTAAATATAGGTACCTTTTTAATTTAAAATTGTATTAGTTTTAGACCAATACAATTTAAAATGATAACTATGATTAGAAAATTAATAAAATATTCACTTACCACTATAGACCTCAAACAAATAACCACAAAACACAATAACTTGGCAATAAACTTTATGACAAACATATAAAAAATAGCAATGATGGCGAATGAACCTTTACAATCTGTGGAATGAAGCAAATAAACATGAAAACCCTTTGCATGTACCTAACAATCATGGCATCATATTTAACGGACGCTACCATAGAAAAAGGACGCTTCTTTATCTTCTGTGTTCGGCGGCAGTGTTGTCAGACGTTTAAATAATTTCAGAAAGCTCATCAAAATGGCGGTTATATTATTAAATCTTGAATACTTAATTAATTAGTATACCTAGTATACCTATTTAACATAAATGTGGTGAGTAATTATTTTAAATTTATTTAATTTATTTATTAAAACTTAATAAAGTACGGAAATATATTTCGTTTAGTTATTTTGCTTCTAACCGGCAACACTGAAGATTCTCAAATTCAGCGCGTGCGTATACTACTATAAAATACAATAATAAACAAAAGGGACTTAAGTAATTTTTTTATTGTATTGCAGACTGTCATAGTCATATTATTAACAGAAATAATATCTAGGTAAAGTGAACATTTCAAAATTAAAAATTTCGTAGCTCTTGGCAAAAAATCAATTTACCGTAAAGTTGTTTTTTGACATATGCTAGTTCTCAATTAAACCATCACAAAATCCCACATGTATACATACAAGTATATATACAAGATATCCATATCAGTTATCCACTGGATATCCAGTGGATATACATTAGATGTACTTTAGACAAATTGGTTTAATAACGATTTAAATCATATTTATTAATCATTACATAAATTTATCCTATAAGGGGCTATTTTAAAAAAGAAAAAAATATTTTTAATGTTTTTGTTTTTTTTGAACATCCCGTATGGATATCCATTGGATATCCAATGGATATCGTAAAAGGCATGGATGTTATATGGACATTGGGATAGCCATTGGATATCCATTGGATAGCGTGTTCTGTGTGGGTAAGAACTATAGTTCGTATAGGAGCTGCCTTAAAAAAATATGTTAAAAGTTTAAAGCTCTACTTTTTTGGTTTTTACACTTTTTTGTCAGGCTTAGGCTAAACGAGATAACAAGATTTAAAACGTTTTTGAAAAGGGTGGAATCACGGAGGGGGGAACACGGAAATTTGTCCTTTAGAGCGTTAGAAAAGCTCTGTTCGGCCCGGCACGGCTTAAACATTTTTAGAGGTCGAATAACATTTTTTGAGTTATTTGTAAACTTCTTAAGGGGCGCCTTTAGCCAAATCAAAAGGGGTCCGAGTTCAAAAAATATAACTATTTATAAAAACTAATTTAATCAAAGTGCATTAAAAAGGTAATTATAATGGTATCTAATTCTAAATATAAAAATAAATATTAAACATTTTTTAAATAGAAAATATAATTTTATTTTTATAAATAAACTTTATAAGGAATACTAATAATTATTTTTCTTTAAAGCTTTATAGAGACAAAATTTAATAAAAATATAAAAAAGAAGAAATATGGTTGGGAAAACATATGGGACAAGTGTTAATGTGATTTTACTAAGAATAACTATAGTATAGTAGTATACAAATAAAATGAAATTATTCAATCAATAACCTGAAAGTAATCCTTGCGTTTCTTTCAAAGAATGTTTTGAAATCAATGGTAAAATTTGCCAATATGTTTGTCAATCAACTAATTTTACAATGTTTGGAAAAATATTGATAAAATTAAAAAAAATCTGTTTAACTCACAATTTGAAGAAGATCATTAAAGTTATAATAAAAAGTATATTTGCATGTTTATTCGCCAAGTGGGGAAGGCAGACCGTTTATTTTATGTTTGGTGTTAAAAATCGGTTAATTTTTTGAATTGGTATATATGTTGGGTTTTTGAACAAATAAAACACGTTTTGGTTTTAAGGTTTTATTAGTACAAAAAAGGCTAAGTTGAGCGCTTTGGTGGGGGATCAAGTGGCCGTTGATTAAATTAAATATTGAATCCTCGCGAGATTTCGGTAACAAGAAGATGATTTATCAGTGCCGTGGCTTGCAGTTTGTTCGTACAGAGCGGCTACCGAAATACATGTATTTAATTGTGCCTGAACATAGAGATGATGGACGGGGTGACATTCCTTAGACCGCTCAACTTAGCCTGAACGGACAGTACTCTAGGTTATAAATAATAATTTACTCAGGCATTCTTATAAGTAAATAATTTGATGTGAAACTAATATCATGACTTAATTTAATGTATTTTTGTTCATTGTTTTTGGGGTTATGATTTTGTTATTGTTTTGTGTCTTGCTCTTCTTTTTCTTGTTTATTTCTAGACCAAATCAGGTGTTTATTTTAGTTTTCATTTCTCGAGTTTTTGTGGCCAACTTCGTGGATGTTTTCTAGGGATTTAAATTTGTTACTATCGTCCCTTTTGGCCTCGGCGTTCCGAGATGGCGGTCGCATATTTGGGAACCACCAACAAATCCGTCATTGCTATAGGCATCATGTAGTGTCAACAATATCGGAGTTTTAAATGAGTAATTATTTTATTTTTTGATTTGTTAGTAAATTCCTTAATTGACTTCTTGTCGAGTTTGTAAACCTGAAGATGGTACATTAGATTGTACCGAAACGTCGTCAGAACCATTAATACATATAACGCCCCTGGAGCAGAAATGTATGAATATATATCATCTACCAAAAGCGTTTGACACCGTTTGCCAAGTAAATTATCAGACATGGTTAAAGGTACATCTCTAAAATTAATACCTTACCTTAAAGGTAGAAAACAGCCTGTAAAAATCGACTATATGAGTACAACGCAAACGACAACTTATGGAGTGCCACAAGGTACTATCCTAGGCCCACTGTAGTTTTTATTATATAGGTATATACACTGTATATTATACAGTGTGTCCACGGATAGAGTTCGGAAGAATTATTTGTGGGTTTAGAAAAAAAAGTCACTCTTTATAAAAACGTCTGCTTGTGTTGAAACTACAATTTCGAATACCAAATTTACGATTACTATACAGGGTTAGCCAGAAACAACATTTTTATTTTTTTTGATTCCGTTTAAAATAAATTTACATAAGAACAGACAACTATTTTTGCTTTCCTACTTAGAATATAATTTTATATCTGGCCGAATAACGATTTTTTTGTAAGAAAACTACTTATTTTTTATTTGTATTTTTATTATTACATGTTAAGTATTTCTTAATCATAAATTATAAAATATTAAAATAAATAACATTCTAATTTGCTGTATTGGGATATTTGCAATGACTTCTCTTATTTTTTCTTTCAAGAGATCTACGTTATTATTAAAATTGGTTTTATACACATGTTGCTTCAGATATCCCCACAAATGAAAGTCCATAATTGTGAGATCGGGACTCCTAGGTGGCCACTCGTTTGGACCATACCTTCCAAACCATTTGTTCCCAAACTGATTATTTAGCCAATCACGAACAAATAATAATTATCGTGGAATGAGCGGGACAGCCGTCTTGTTGGAATGTAATTTTATTCGATCAGCTAAAGGTATATCTTGCAAATTATCATAAAAAAAATTTTTCAGAAGATGCAAATAAGTGCGTTGATTTAAATTGTTTTCAAT